GGTAGCAGACTACCACGCCTTAACTGCAGATATCGACACTCTGAGGAGCGATGAACCCCTTGACTACTGGGTGTGCAGGCTTGACCTGTGGCCTGAGCTATCCCAATTTGCGATAGAACTTCTGGCCTGCCCCGCTTCAAGTGTCCTGTCAGAAAGGACCTTCAGTGCAGCAGGAGGTATTGTCACTGAGAAGAGAAGTCGCTTAGGTCAAAAAAGTCTAGATTACCTCACCTTTATTAAGATGAAGGAGGGATGGATCCCGAAGGGACTGACACTGGGCGATACATTAGATTAAAAAAGGCCTGATCCTCTTCCATAACCTCCTCAGCTGAGTCCTCTTCTGCTGCTGCGTCTTGCTCCACATCAACGGATAGGGGACGTAACAGTGATTAAACTGATAACAGTACTAAACACACCACTCCTATCTGGTGGCACATTAGCTTGACCGCGCAGTGCCCCAAATTTGCAGTAAGAGGACCGACCAAGCCTCTTCTTCCATCTCCCTGTTACAAAAATCAATGCCGTGTACACGTCCACTGATAGGAGACGCGGAAGGTATTAAACTGATAAAAATAGTACCAAACACACCACTACTATCTGGTGTCACATTAGCTTGACCGCGCAGTGCCCCAAATTTAATGTGATCTGTGAGTAAGGTAAACGGTTGTCCATACAAGTAGGTTGCAGCTTTTGAGGGCCCACACCACCGCCATGCACTCCTTTTCAATGGCAGTGAATATACTTCGCTGTGCAAAAGTTTACGGCTTAGATAAAAATCAATGCCGTGTACACGTCCACTGATAGGAGACGCGGAAGGTATTAAACTGATAAAAATAGTACTAAACACACCACTACTATCTGGTGTCACATTAGCTTGACCGCGCAGTGCCCCAAATTTGCAGAAAGAGGACCGACCAAGCATCTTCTTCCATCTCCCTGTTACAAAAATCAATGCCGTGTACACGTCCACTGATAGGAGACGCGGAAGGTATTAAACTGATAAAAATAGTACTAAACACACCACTCCTATCTGGTGTCACATTAGCTTGACCGCGCAGTGCCCCAAATTTGCAGTAAGAGGACCGACCAAGCCTCTTCTTCCATCTCCCTGTTACAAAAATCAATGCGTGTACACGTCCACTGATAGGAGACGCGGAAGGTATTAAACTGAACAGTCTCTATTCTGCTCTTGCATTTCTATTTCTTCATAGAAAACGAAAAAATTCTGAGAAGACGTTGGCAGGGCTATTCACTTGTGTGATCTGTCATGAATTGTCATTTGAATGTTATTTTGAACTGTGGGGCACAAGAACTTGAATCTGACAAAATGGCTGCCATATACACGTCCACTGATAGGAGACGCGGAAGGTATTAAACTGATCAGAACAATACTAAACACACCACTCCTTTTTTTTGGTGAGGCTTTACAGGACAGAGTGCTTCTCCACGGGACATGTTAACTCACGGGCAGCTGGCTCATCAAGGAACCAGAGCAGCTTTCCATGTACAGGTAAGACACGTGCAGCCGGTAAGGGTTCAGGCTCTTCTTCCTGGAGGATACGCTGCAAGCCTGTTGAACGAGGTGACCTTGCTCGGGTCCCAGGTGTACGGTTCCTAAAATGGCTGCCATATACACGTCCACTGATAGGAGACGCGGAAGGTATTAAACTGATCAGAACAATACTAAACACACCACAAATAAGGTTTCTCTCCTGTATGGCTCCTCAAATGATGCTTAAGATTAGAAGCGGCTGAAAAGCATTTCTCACACTCCGAACAAAAATATATTTTTTAACATTCTCTCCACTTTGAACGAAATGACGTTTGGGAAGAGATTAACATAATTAAACACAGGCAGTAAAAATACAGTTTTTAGCCATACACTGTAACTTTAAAACTACACATCCCATCTTCATAATTACATATTTTGGAATCAGCACACTTAAAACATAAACATAACCAAAAATCAGCCAAATACATCCAGGGGTTAAAAAGTTAGCTGGAGGTCCCTTTATGACCGACCGCAAGCACATTTTCCTGCCCAAAACAGTTCCATAGATTTGGGCTGTGAGGTCGGTCTATTTCAGGCTGAAAAAACGCCGAATGGGACTTAGTCTCTGCAGCTGAAATAAGGCTGAAAAAAAGCGGCGGGTGGGGGCCCTAAAGTAAAATAATGAGGGGGGACCTATTGTCCTCCCCCCAGCCCCCACCCCTGAGCGGCAGGTGGGGGCCCTAAATAAGAATAAGGTGGGGACCTGGCTCCCACCCCTGAACGGTGGGTGGGGGTCCTAAATACCAATTAGGGGGGACCTAATGTACTTCCCCCTGGCCCCCACCCCTGAGCGCTGGGTGGGGGATCTAAATTAGAATGAGGAGGGGGACCTAATGTCCTCCCCCATGACCCCACTCCTGAGTGGTGGGTGGGGGCCCTAAATTAGAATGAGGGGGGGACCTAATGTCCTCCCCTCTGGCCCCTGAGCGGCGGGTGGGGGCCATAAATAAAAATTTAACCCCCCAGGTGACTAGGGTCCCCAAACCCCTAGTCACCCCCTCCCAAGAAAAAACTAACCCCTACCTACCCCCCTAACCCTAAATATAATGATGGGGTGCATTAACTAAGTACCTGTTCAAAAAGATAAAATAAAACGTACCATTTTATGTTTTCTTTCTTCTAAAATCATCTTTTTTCAGCCCAAAAAAAGGCAAAATCAAAATCCATAATAACCGACGCACTTAAAAAAAAAAAAAATAGAGTTTTCTTCAGTATATTTTGGTGTGGTGCATACTGTATGAAGGAAATTCATAGGAGTACTGTAGCTCCTTTGGATTGTGAACACATACACTATTACATCATATTCACATGTATTTGTCACTTCTATATTACATGTTTCTTTATAAGATATACTTTATTCTCAGTTGGATGCCTCTAGTCCTAAGGATATTAAGTTGCCAGTCTAGGTGGTATTTGATTTACACATTTTCAATAGACATGTGCAATTTGTTTCGGACCGAATATGAATTCGGACAAATTTTGGGCAATTCGGACATTCGGGTACTTCCGAATGTCCGAATAGCCGAAGTGCCGAGGTCCAGAAGTTCCGAAATAACCGAAGTGCCGAAGTGCCGAAGTGTCGAAGTTCTGTAGCACAGTATTGCCTAAGTACTAATATACTTACCCAGTGGAAGAAGAAGAATGTTACACTGTATACAAGTTTAAATAAAAAGGATACAAACATAGCCAGGATTCAGCTGTAAGCATTTGCAACACTTACAACAATCAAGTAAAATACATTCATATAAAATGTAAGTTACTTAGCCTGTCAATGGAATGACAGGAATGAATCAGTAGATAACTCCATAATTCCCACGGTATTAGGGAGCTATCTACTAAAAGGCTGAAAGATCTGAATTGGTCTTTCAGTCAAATTTAATAGTACTAAGTAAAGATTACTTAGAATTAGTAAATTATGCCCCTACTCGCTATACCGCCCTAAATTAGAATAAGGGGGGACCTAATGTCCTCCCCCCTGGCCCCCACCCCTGAGCGGCGGGAGGGGGCCCTAAATAAAAATGTAACCCCCTCCAGGTGACTAGGGGTCCCCAAACCCCTAGTCACCCCCCACCCAAAAAAAAACTAACCCCTCCGCGCAGAATGAGCTCTGCAGGGCGGGGGAAGACTTATAAAGCCTTGCTCCGCCCTGCAGTTAGGCTCAGAGCACTCTGATTGGTGGGTTTAAGCTATCCAATCAGAGTGCTCTGACAGGTAAATGAAGAGACTGACAGGTTAGTCTCTACCTTTACCTGTCACAGAACTCTGATTGGTTGGCTTGAAATCCACCAATCAGAGTGTTCTGTGTCATTTTACACAGCGTGGGAAAGTTCTATGGTATTTCCCACGCTGTGTAATTTGACTCATAACACTGATTGGTTACTTAATCAACCAATCAGAGAGTTATGAGTCAAATTACACAGTGTGGGAAAATTCCAAAGAACTTTCCCACGCTGTGTAAAATGACACTGAGCACTCTGATTGGTGGATTTCATGCTAACTAATCAGAGTGCTGCTACAGGTAAATGTAGAGACTTACCTGTAAGTCTCTTCATTAACCTGTCAGAGCACTCTGATTGGATGCCTTAAACCCACCAATCAGAGTGCTCTGAGCCTAATTGCAGGGCAGGACAAGGCTTTATAAGCCTTTCCCCGCCCTGCAAAGCTCAGTCTGGGCGGAGCCCTCCATGGGTGCAGATGGATAAAAAAAAATTGCGCTCATTTTTTTTAAAGTGCGTCGGTTATTATGACTTTTTATTTGGCCTTTTTTGGGGCTGAAAAAATAAGATTTTAGAAGAAAGAAAACATCAAATGGTAAGTTTTATTTTATTTTATTTTACAGGGACTTAGTTAAATGGTCCCCCCTCATTATTTTTATGGTGAGGGGGGTAGGTAGGGGTTAATTGTTTGGGGGAGAGGGGTGACTAGTGGTTTGGGGACCCCTAGTTATCTGTGAGAGGGGGGGTTAATTTTTTATTTAGGGCCCCCACCTGCTGCTCAGGTGTGGGGGCCAGGGGGGAGGACAATAGGTCCCCCCCTAATTAGTATTTAGGGCCCTCACCCACCGCTCAGGTGTGGGGGCCAGGGGGAGGACATTCTGTCCCCCCTAATTCTAATTTAGGGCCCCCACCCACCGCTCAGGGGTGGGGGCCAGGGGGGGAGGACATTAGGTCCCCCCCTCATTGTAATTTAGGGCCCCCACCCACCGCTCAGGGGTGCGGGCCAGGGGGGAGGACATTAGGTCCCCCCCATTCTAATTTAGGGTCCCAACCCAGTGCCCAGGGGTGGGGGCCAGGAGGGAGGACATTAGGTCCCCCCTAATTAGTATTTAGTGCCCCCACCCACTGCTCAGGGGTGAGGGCTGGGGGGAGGACATTAGGTTTCCCCCCTCATTCTAATTTAGGGCCTCCACCCACTGCTCAGGGCTGGGAGCCATGGGGGAGGACATTAGGTGTGTCCCCCTATTCTAATTTAGGGCCCCCACCCACTGCTCAGGGTGGGGCCAGGGGGCAATAGGTCCCCCCCTTATTCTAATTTAGGGCCCCCACCCGCCGCTCAGGGGTGGGGGCCGGGGGGAGGACAATAGGTTCCCCCCTTTATTTTACTTTAGGGCCCCTCCGCCGCTCAGGGGTGGGGGCTGTGGGGGTCAATAGGTCCCCACCCTTATTCTAATTTAGGGCCCCCACCCGCTGCCCTTTTTTTTCTTTTATTTTTTTTAATAGTGAGCAGCCACAGGCCACAGGACATGCCCCTACTCGCGGTATAGCGAGTAGGGGCATAATTTACTAATACTAAGTAATTTTTACTTAGTATTAGTAAATTTGGCTGAAAGACCAATTTAGGTCTTTCAGCCTTTTGGTAGATAACTCCCTAATACCGTGAGAATTAGGGAGTTATCTACCAAGCGGCTGCAAGAGAAGTTCCGAATTTCCGAAGTGTCGAAGTGCCGAAGTTGGCAAAGTTCCGAAGTGCCGAAGTTACCGAAGTGCTGAAGTGTCGAAGTACCAAATTGCCGAAGTGTCGAATGCCGATGTCCCGAATTTCAGAATGCCGAACCGAACCAAAAAGTTTCCCATGCACATGCCTAATTTTCAATATTCTGTTTCCTCATTTTTGCTTAGTTTCTGTTATCACCCACATGCCTTCATGGACTGACCCTTCCTATATTCTTTAAATGCTCTGGCAATATAGCCAGGACATCAAGAGTAAGGGGTTTCAAGGTTCTGTGTAAGTTGATTGCAACAGCTGTAATCAAGAGGTAGGCTGGAAATTGAACAGTGGATTGCTCTCATATGTAGAATTTCATACCAGTATATTTTTTTCCTACATGCAGTTTTCTTAATAGTGTTTAGCAGCACATAGAAATATATATTTTGATTTAAATGTATGCCATATGTATTGATGTTTATGGAGGCAATATTGTTTTAGAATTCTATACTTAGATGGCTTATCCCAAATGCTCAGATGGTAGGATAATCCATGCAAGCATTCACTATAATAAATAGGTAATAATTTACAGATCATCTTCCTGCAATTTGAAGGTCCTAATGTCAGGCAGGACCTGAACATATGTGTTCCAGTCTTCTAGAAAATTTTGAGAGTTACACTCCTGAGTGGTATCTACCACAATTTCAATAATGAGTGATATGGCCGCTGCTAGGGACATAACTCCCACTGATTCCATACTGCCCTTATAGTAAAGAACTCTCCTTAATGCTTGCCACACTATACTACAAATTAACCCCTTCGTTACCTGAACATGTGACACTATCATTAAACATTAGCCCCTACACTAACACTAAATCCATACAGTGCATTAAAACTAACAATTAGGGGTGCGGGGCCAGGCAGCCATGCCAGCAGGCTGCAAGTCACTCTGGAGTGTCCCGGTGCAGCTGGAGCGCCTGATATCGAATGATTCTGAGTCCTGGTGAGAGACTCTGAGGCTAGAGGACTGAGACCTATCTGCCTCACTTTCCGCCCCAGCTAATGCAAGCTACAACTTACCTGGCACCTCCCTGGTCCCGTTCACCCCCCCTTTGGACCAGTGGGGGTTATCACGGTCCCCACCAGGCAAGCTACCACCTTTGCATCTCAACTGGGCGGCTCGACGTCGTAGGTGGAAGGCTCCCATGCGTCTTGCTAAAATGGCCAAAGGTGGCACAGCAACTCCACTGGTTGAAAGGGTGAACCCTGTATGACGTACTAATACAGTGCTCATGAATCACACAGCCCGAGATGACACACTTCCTTGAAGGCTCTCGAACCCCATATGAACACCCCTGTAATATGCTTGACGACAGGCAAGAACCACAGCAGCCTGCATTTATTACACCTACCCATACCACAGCGGAAATCCCTTGACGCAGGCACTGGGCCTACTCTAACTGAGCACACCTCACCAACGATCATCAAGCTTGCTCCAGTGACCTACACTGGGAGAGCACTCGGGCAAATCATCCCCATGCACCAACTCCAGTGTGCTACAGCCCGCACCCGGGTACTATGGCTCGAAAGGTACCACGCCCAAACCCACCCAACAACTAGGAAGCTTGTTAACGGTCTCTGTGGACACCGCGCCCTATGGCGTGACTTTGGGACTCAGTGGACCTCAAGGTATACTCTACAGGGACGCTCCCCATGCCTAGAAATAGGCTGAATTTTTCTTAACTTTCTTACCTTTCGCACTGCCAGAGCTGGCGGTAACCCCAGCCTTTCACACTACACACCTATTAAGGCACACACTGTATAGTATACCACTAATAGCCTCATCAGATGTGGTTTTGGTTGCATTTATTGATATGCATGCATCTCCTCTGTTTATGTTAAAGTTATTTTTGGTTTAGTTTCCTACCTACTGACGATGACAGCCCAGTATGCTATATTCTAATTGGTGGTAACTTACTCTAATATCACTCTTTGTTAAGCTTGTGACCCTATAATCTAACAGAAATGTCAGTATGTAACTCAGAATCAGTACCTCGTCTGCCATAACTAGTAACTGACATGTTGGTTTAACTCTCGATGAAACATTACTTTATAATATAAAATGTTCTGATATGCTAAACAATTATCGTTAAATGTTGACTGGCATGATGGCAATAGCTGTTGTGGCATTGCTTGCCTCAATGTATTTTTCGTGCACAATAAAATAAAGACAAAAAAAAATAAAAATAACAATTAGCCCCTACACTACCTTAACAGTTCACAACAAAATAACCTGAAAATATCATGCAATATAAAAATTACATAACGGTGAAGCATGCATTATGGAAATTAATAATGTTTCCAGAATATTTAAATGGAACTTCTTTTCCATAATGCACTCTTCACGGTTGTGTAACCTCTCACAAAGTAATTTTCAACATAGACAACAGTCAATAAGATGAATATTTTATCACAAAATTTAAATGGAAAGGGCAACTATATGCTATACAGAAGTGAAAATTGTGCTGTGTCAATCAATGAAGGATATGTTAGAGTCCCTGTGTGTAGTAACAAAGGCATTAGTCTTCCAAAAAATACTTATGAAAAGCTTTTTTTGCACAGTTTCATTGGACTTTACGCATCCTGATCTGGGTATTTTCAACTAAGAACATTAACCCTTTTCTGAAGGAAAAGTGTTTAAGAGGTAAAAGCCAAGAGATTATACAGTCTTGTTGTTGTTGATTAAATCTATCACTACAGTCTGTTTACTACAAGTTACATATCTATCACAATGGACTGTAAAATGCAGCCCATGTACAAAAAAATGTAACTCAGCTGCAAGAATATTGCTGGGAAACAATTTATACCTGTCTATTGTAGGGTATCAGTCATGGTCACCATGGTAACAACATCTTGTCTTGCTTGGGACCAAGTATGAAACTGTTGTTACCATAGTGATCTTTCAGCTAGTGCCGAGCAGGGTAACTGTCCATTAAGATAATCTAGAAATAGATGAGACATTGTTATTAATGTACATTCATTTGGTTTTATTCCTTACATTGCATTGTTATTTCATTTAAATCCTACAATATTCTAGTTTTTTTTTTTTTTAAGTCAGAAGCAGTGTGGGGGGCAGATGTTTGGGAAGAAGTTGCCCTGGCAACAGAGTTAGGGCGTTTCAGAGGGTGGTTGCCATGGAGATCTGGATGCTGACGACGGCTGCTAAGGTTGGGACAACAGATTGGCTTCATGCTTATGTGCAGGCTTGTCAGTCAGAGCCCTTGCCATTCTCACCTTCAAGATAACACAGAGCACCCAAGAGAACGAGGAAAAAGATAGATCTAAATAGTGCAAGAGAACCGTCAGAATAAAAGAGGAGAGAACAGAGAGAGGGGGGAGACAGGGTGAGAGCCAGAAAATAGAAGCAGTCAAGGAAGACTGAAAAGGTGACCGTGGGAAAAAAAAAATAAGCAGAGAAAGATATGTTTTACAGGATAGATAAATATAGGTATATTGATATCGGGATATAGTTTAGCAACCAGCTTCAGCAGAGAAATACAGATACCATAAGAGCCAGACAAATTGAGATAAAAAGCAGAAGAGCAGGCAACAAAATATTTAGAGAGAAAAAAAGATAGTGGGAAAAAATACGACAAAAAAAGAGAGGGGGTTTAGGTTTATAGGGATTTGAAGGATCAATCACTAATTTATTGCTATTGATAGAGGAAGTACGACTATCGGCAAACAAGACGAGAGAATCATCCAACGAAAGCTTCTACTTCATCAGCAGCCCGTGACATCTTCATAACACAAGACATCAAGGTTCACTACAGGGTGATAAAGGCATGGCAACTATCACCTGCACCCGCTTCAGTGAGGAATACCAACTATTTGAGGAACTAGGAAAGTAAGTTCAACGAGGCATAAATATTTTTTTTGCAGCCACGCTGAGGCTGGTTTAAAAGTTGTCTTGGTTATGTTATGGCTCGTTCAAAGAGGTGAACAATTCAAATCTTAAATGCAACAAAGGTTGGTTTACCCAGGGCAGGAGAAGAGAACCACAAGGCAGATTCTAAACCCCGTGGTACATGTATCTTCTGTTATAGAGTCTTCATATTCAACTATAATTAAGACTTCAGTGGCGTTTGCTTGGAAATATTGATATTAGTGGTATTGGCTGAAATAAAGTTTAGATATCAGTCAGATGACTGGAAAAATCTGTTTCTTGTGGTTGGTTAGCAAAGGATTGAGACACACTGTCATAAGGTAACTTTATGCTAAGCTAAATAATCAAATGAACTGAAATAAAAAAAATAAGAGCTGAATTATTTTGTAATGTATTTTCCAAAACCTCTTGTTCAATGGAGTTCCATTTTTTTTAAATCTGAAATTTGGGTTTACTACTAGGCAGATGCATGTGTTTAAAGGTTTAACCCTTTCATTGATGACAATACTTGTGTGGTCAGACTGGAATACCAGGCTACTTGATGGCCACGTTGAATAATATTTTGTGTCATTTCTCTGCAGCTGCTCAGTCTATATCTATCTTATTTAGGTAGCATTGTATGCCTTTATTGCAAGGAATTACAACTCATAAATTGATAACTCCCTGGATTTAACAAAAGATGATTGAAAGTAAAAATATTTTTCAGCCTCAGCAACATGCTCTGTCTATCATGAATTTGTTAAAAGAAGGTGAATCTTGTTCATGCCTCACTCCACTGCTGCTGGAGGAATGGACTGCAGATCTCCCCCAAATATTAGTATGGCAATCTATTAGTGAGTGGTATCTGCTAATGGCAGCTTGGGTCAACTTTTGAAGATCAATTTTAGGAAATTACTAGTGACATACAATTGTCTGGATTACTAGTAAATTGTACATGAATCAAGGACACTTTAACACTTCAGATTGGCTTGCA